AGTCCTCCATCAAGTTCTATCCTTACATCAAATTAGGATTAAGAAGAAGAGAGAGTAAGAAAAGCTTTAAGGGATTTTATCACATTTTCTCAGACTATTATTTTTTATATCTTGACAGCTTTTTGTCTGACTTTAATGTTAAAAATGTACTGGGAGCAGTTCTTAACTCTTCCTTGCAGTATCATTTGTATTTTCAAATTGCTCTGTTCCAGCTGGAAACACTAATTGTCATTATGGCTCTTTTCCTGTGCAGTGGCGTTCACTGGATAGCAAAGTCAGCAGTCAAGGACTGAGCCTTGTTTGTGAATGGAAGGCGATGGAATTTTTCCCGCTTCGGTTGGGTGATGGAATTTTACCCCTCAGGGCACTGTGGAGGGTTCTCCTCCTTTTCCTCATGAATGTAAGGCTGAGGAGATGAGTCACAGGATGGGCTGTGAGAGGAGGAAGTAAACAGTGCCTTCCTCCTTTCCTGGCCACTTGAGCGCGTTCTGAGTGAGTCAGGGAGAGCACAGGGGGAGTTCACCCCCAGATCCTCACACAGCCCAGCCCCAGCCCACTCGCAGCGCTCACAGGGTGAGTAAACCCGTAGTACACTTGCACACTGCAATCATCCTCCTCCTTCCCTCCTGCCAGCCCCACGAGTCAGAGTTTTCCTTCCCTGCTGTGGCCAAACCACCTTGGGCAAACTCTCTTGGCAGCATCCCTGGCAATAGGAGAGAAACTGACCCACACCGCTGGTCCAGAATGAAATATTCTTCTGTAATTTATGAGTTCCAGATTAGCTTTCCTCATGTACACACCCTGTTCTGGGGTACAGTGTGTTTGCATTCAAGGCCAATGCCTGCAATTCCAGAACAAAATCATTATTATGAACAGAGCCATTTTTATAGTGGAATAATGTACATGTGTAGTTTGATTTTATGGGGTTTCAGGGAGGGCTGGTGGGAGGGGCTGGTGATTTTTCTCCTGTACAGACAAGCCATTGATTGCCTCTGTGAGTCATGGATAACATCACAGCACTTACTGGCACCACACTACTTGAAATGATTCCTCTTTTACAAAGAGGAGTGTCTGTATGAGCTCGCTCTACAGTTCTGATGATGCTGCAGGAAAGATGAATTTTAACATTTTCACAGTTTTTCCACAGGTGCAGGGTTGGCTTCTTGTTTGTTTTCAGAGAAAAAGGATATTGAAAGAGTTGCAATTTTAAACAGTTGTTGTTCCTTGCACCTTCAGCTTCAGAATTACTGATGGCTTATGGAAGACTTGGCTCCTGTTAAATAGTTTGCTAAAGCAGAGAGAATATTTAGATGTGAAATTTGGATTTATGTTCCATCAGGAGCTATTTTCCTTTTTAGCTACAAAACGATGGTTTTGAAAGACTTTCCTCTTACTAAATGTTAAATAGATGCATTGTTGCTAACACTGACCTGCCACCACTGTCTTCCAGCAGGATACTTGTTTTATTTCTTATTAAAAAGTATGAAATCTAAGAAGTTCAATAAAGATTGAATGAAATCTTGAGTTCCATGAGTGGCAGATTTTTGCTGCACAGTCTGTCCTGCAGCCGTGGCTTTGCTCCTCTTTTAGTCCTGTGCTGCTTTTTGTGGTGCCAGTCCAGGGTCAAGGGAGATTAAAACCAAGAATGGTGGATAATTTTATGATTAGATAAAAAATGCTCAAGAGAACAGAACAGGAGCTTTGTTTGAGGCCTGAGCTGGGCAGGGCAAGGACCAGGAAGGGGCACCTGTGATGCTCAGCACTGCATTGCCTGCTGCTTTCCTCCCTCTGTGCCTCAGAAACATCACAGGGAGTTTTCTTTCCTGTACTCTGATCTGGCAGCGTGAGCTGGGCTATGAGGATATTGCCCAACTCTGGAGGGAAGGATTTTAACATAAAATTGCAATGCTGATGCTTTAAAAGCTGACCTGTTGCTCTAGGGGTCAGTAGCTCCTCAATCCGAGTGAGTGTCTTGGCAAAGCGCCTGCAGAGAATCTGTTAAAGGGAAAAGTTTTTCCAAAATTCCAACTAAATATCTCAATTCACATCCCCCAGTGTGTTATCTGCACACATCTCCCCTCAGCACCCCCAGTGCCCAGAGACTGTTCTGTCTGAGAAAGCTCTGGGGAAGCTCATTTGGTCTCCATTTACTTTTCCTCAGCTCTTGCTCCCTTTTGGTACCTAATTAGAACTAAGCCACGTTCTGCTCTAATGTTCTGCCCTCTTTGATCTTGCGGGAGTGCTTATTAAAGGAGCAGGTGATTTTTTCATGGCATTATTGCACACCAGAAAGCTCCAGATGTGTCTGGTTTGTGTATGTTGCTCTGAGGAGATTGATGCTTGGTGCTGATGTGCTGAATTAAAAAGGTGGGGTGCTGGCCTGCCATCGTATGAAGTATTTCTTTTTAGATCTTCCTACAGCATCATAAAATGCTGCTAAATTCAGATATCATATTTTGTTGCAGGCTGGTTCTAGGACAAAGCCCAGCCCTGTCTACTGATGTTTATGGCTTCCCATATAAGCCTTCAGACAAAATTTGTATCTCATTTTGCCTGAGTTACAGCAGGATGATATCCCAGTCCTCACACCAGTTCTGAGCTGAGGCACTGAGAAGTTGCCACTGTAATGAAATGGAGGAAAGGGAAAAACATCCCTTTTAAACTTCCTGTAAATCACTGCTCGAGAGAGATAAAATATCTGCATAAAGCCTGTGTGGGAGTCCTGTAATGTAAACACAAATGCATTTAAGCCTTGTCTTGTTTCTGGTTTGTAACTGCCTCAGTGTTTAAATCTCCTCTGCAGGCTGGTGTGCCTTGGGAGGAGATTTAGCTCCTGCTCCAGGAATCAGAGGGCACTCTTGCTGCTCTGGCTCCTTGCTTATCTGCTTGGCTGCTTATCTGCATGGCTGTAAAGTTTTTATGTTAAATGCGACTTCTCAAAAGTATTGCTTTCAAATGTAGTTCAATTTATTTACAATTAATCCAGAAAGGGGCTTGTCTGCATTTGAATTTATAGCACAGAAAAAATACTCTTCCTTTTATTCTGTCTTGGCTTTCCCAGGACCAAAGTTCACTTTCTGCTCCTGAGTTGGGAAGTTGCACAATGGCAGAAGGTGTCAAAGTGCCCTGTAAATAAACCACAGAGCAGAAATGGGGCTGCTCAAGCATCCCTTGGTGACTTTCTGCCCATCATCCACATGGGGAGGGAAGATGTGGCAGGGAAGGACCAAGGTCAATTTTCCCAACTAGAAAATTGGTTGTCCCATGTGTGATGCCACTGCCAGTTTCTCATTGTCTGGGTTTCAGCATTTCACCATGGGCTGTGCTGGTGAGTTCCAGAGCTGGGCTGATGTTGGTGATGAGAGCAAGGCAGGGCACGTTTCCATTTGCCTGTGCAGCTGAGAGGAAGCCCTGACCTGATCTCCAGGTGCAGTGCTGAGAGAGGAGATTGCTGGTAGAGTGTTTCCTGCTGAGAATTTTTTTTTGGTCTGCTTTTTGTATATTTTTTCGTGTTTACTCATTCCCACAAAGAATATTTCAATGGCTGAAAAAACCTCCTTGACACAAGTAAATATACAGCAAAAGTAAAGGCAAAAGTACTGTGGTGAAATGAGAGGCATTTAAACAAGTGTAGATAATATCAGACTATCAAAAACAAATGACCAGAATTTCAACTGAGAACAAGAGTGGAGCAAAGTCAAATGGATGGGATTTGCCCTAGAATCTGTCTTTGATAAATGTAGGCTTTAAAAATACACAACCTGAAAAAAATTGCTTAAATATTAGAGCTTTTATCTCTGCTAAGTCGTGGCTGCAGGAATCTGAGTCATCTGGCTTGAGCAGGTGTAATTGTTTGTGTGCTGTGTATCTGCTCTGGGCAGCCCTGACAAACAGTGAAATCACCACTCAGCTCCAAAGGGACAATGAGAGCTTTGACCTCAGGCTCTGTCACTGTGCCTTTGTTATCTCTGAGCGTTATGGAACTGCTGCATTTGAATTCCTTGGTTTCTGTTTGTTTCCTCTGAGCAGTCCCAGGAGCTCGGATTCACTGGCTTTTTTTGGGTACCAATTGTTAGTTTGAAAGAGCCCCTGTTTCTGGTAGGATCAGAGCCCACACTGAATATATCTCACTGTTAATGAGAGACCAGCCCAAACCCAAGATGTCTGTTTGATCCCTCCCTCCCTCTGGAATCTTTTCTTTCCTGGGAAAAATTGCTCAGTGCTGGCTGGAGGATTGAGCATTGTGTTGTAGAGAAATTTCTGTGGTTTCCAAATGTGTTTTATTCTCCTCAGGAATTAAACCCAAAAATCTTTCTAAGTGTCTGAGATCCTTCTGTGTGTAAAGGATTTCTCCTTCTCTCAAGTTCACTCTTGCCTGTAAATTCATCCCACTGAGATCTCAATCAAACCCCATATATTTTATTGTGAAAAGTTTTGGTTCCAAGAACATGAAGCTTTCATCAGGTTCTCACTAATCTCCAAGCTGCTGACCTGGCAGAATGGATTGGGAGTGATGCAGATGTTCAACCCCCATTGCTTTGTGTGTTAGTGACGGTAGATTAAAGGAAATGTTCCGTTTTTACTGCTTAAACTGTTCTGTTTTACTGCTACTAATATTCAATATGTCAGTTCCTTTGGCACATTGAAACATGGGCGAGGAGAAGCTGAAAGTTTGAGCTGATGATAAAAGGAAAAAACAAAATAGACTGCCAGTAAAAAGTTTGGTAAGCTAGTTTGGGGTCTGGGCAGTCAGTCCTCTCCTGGTGGTACCAGTGTTTGATTTTTTGATGAATGGCTTTAAGCAGAAACGGGCTGGGGAAGGTGGGAAGGGAGCTGTGCAGCTGATGCACTGTTCCAGCCTGAGCTGTGAACACAAGTGTTGTCCATGGTACCTGTGTCAGATTGCTCTGGAACTGTGGCCAGCGGGGCTGATCTCCTGCCATCCATTGCTTTTGTCAGGAGCTGAGGCCATGCTAAGCAAACATCTGAGTTTTTTCTGTTTCCTTTCTCTTTGGCTGCAGTGGTGGAGAGCCGAGGAGGGATCATGGACAGCATCCAGAGATTCTCCAACCTGCCAACCTATCTCCCTGCAAACCCCCACATCTCCAATGCTGATACTTTCTTCTTCCTCAAGGAAGCCAACCAGGATATCATGAGGAACTCCAGTTTGCAGTCCAGGGTGGATTCATTCTTTATATACAAAGCCAAACAGCCACCTGTCCTAAACGCCACGTACGGACCCTTTTCTGTTGAACAACCCGTTCCCTTGGACCTCATGCTGACTTCTGCATCTTTTGGTTTCACAAATAAATTCACTTTTAATTGGAAATTAAAATCCCACATAATCAACAGCTCAATCTATTCCAACAAACCCAAAATACAGACCCTGTTCTATATAGCAGGGAAGGACTGGGACGACTACGACTCCGAGGAGATGCTGCCTTGTGTGAAGATGTTTGCTTTCCTGGAGTCCAGAGAAGTGGTGGCCAGCTGCAGATTGACAGGCCACCTGGGATTATGCGTGGTGGAGCTGGAATTGTCCCCCAGCTGGTTCAGCTCCCCTCCACCCCTGCTTTCAGAGGAAACAGCCTCCCTGGAAGGGATTACTGTGGAGCTCTTCTATAAGATTTATGCAGTGGATGGGGAATGTTCTCCAGAGGATGCAAAATGGGAAAACAATATCCATGCAGGTGAAGAGAATGAGCACCAAGCTTTGTCAGCCATGGAGAGGATTGGTAGCATCGTTGTTTACCCAAATCAGGACAAATTAAAGCAGTCGTCTCTGAGGGTGGATGAAAATATCCTTATTCACTTGCCACTCAGCCCAGTCAGAGAGGGGGACATTGTGACCTTCCATGTTTTCCTGGCTGATTACTCGCTAGCAGACCAGTTTGTATTAAGGTAAGAGAATTTTTTAAGTGTTGTCTGCAAAACAAATAGGGGCAAATCAATGCTGGGTATAAACATTTGGTTATATTTACTGTTTCTTGAGAGAACTTCTGCATTTCCTCTTCAACAGGTGAAAACTATAGATAGTCTGGAATTATCTGTGTGAATTATGACACTTTTTGGACCATGGGCATTGATTTTAAAGTATGGGCTATGAATGTTTGTTTGATTATTTTTTAATGCTGTTTTCTTCTAGTCATAATTCTGCCTATTAAATTCTTCCTCTGTAACTCAGGCAGGGTAACTGCTGCAATGTGTTTTGCTAAAGAGTTTGCAGGAGGGTTTTCGGTTTCTTTGGTGAAGTTTCCTCTGTTTTTATCAACTTTATCATCATCATCATCTTTCCAAAATGCACGGGCTACATCCTGCACAGGTCAAACGTGGTGAGAACTCTTGCTGCATTGTACAGAGGGGAGCTGAGAGCTGAGGAAATGAGCTCAGCCTGTGTAGGAATCCTTTAGCAGAGCCAGAATTTGGGGCTAAACTTCGCAAGTTTTCTTCAGTTTTCCTGTAACATTAGCCCTTTCTCCTTCTTCAAGCTTTTGACTGCTAGTTTCATAGCCCATTTTTGTTTTAAGTTTGGGGACTCTCTGTTGACCTTTCCCTGTGAATCTGCCTGTAATAGGAGAACTCAGGCATTTCAAACACCCCGAGGGTTAGTGCTGCGTATTTGCTCTGTCCTTAGCTGTCAGACTCTGGGCTCAGAGCTGCACAGGGACCAAATTCAGAGAGAAATGTGAGCCAGACTGGGGGAACAAAAGGGCCAAAAGGTAATTGGAAAGTGTCATCTGCTGTAAGGATGTGGGACTCTCGGGAAAGGGAAACCTCAGAGTAGATTCGTGCCTTACTTCCAACTTTTGATCCAAGAAGGACGGGAGCAGAACGTGACAGAAATGCACTTTGGGGACAGATGTTGAGAAAACAGACAGCAAACCTTATGCAGCACTTTCAAGTCATTCAGCATTTGTGAAATAGCACATGCATATTAATAAACGTGGAGATTGCTGCCTGAATAGGGACAAATGATTCACAGCACAGCGCTGCTAACGGGGGGAAAGTGTGACAAATATAATGGGGTTTAACCAAACTTGAAAAGGTTTGGATCAGGAAGGGGCTTCCTTTAAACACAACTTATTGGTGCTCTTTGTGGATTTAGTGTTTTTAATTTGTCAAACATGGATTTGGCCAGCATCCACCGGACTGGCCTGGCGGAGCAGTCGGGTTTCAGCAGGCGTGTATTGATCCTCGGTGCCATAGCAGAGAGATTATGGAATTTGCCTAAGGCTCTGCAAGGATTTAACATCAGCTCTTAATTCGCAGGGTTTTGTTCTCTTCCCCACACCAGAGATAAAATTCCCAAGGTATTACAGCCAGCCTAAGACGAGGATGTTTTCTTTCCACTGGAATTTCTAAAATAGCATTTACCTCGTGACAAATGGTGCAAGGGTTGAGTTTTGATATTTCTGCTGGCCAGGAAATAACAAAAAACTCCTTGCAGAGACACTTTTGCAATGCTGTTTTTCAAAAGCAAAATAGGTCCTGAAGCACTGAGCAATAACTGAGCTGGGTTTTCAGGGGAGCAGAAATTGGGGGAGCAGGCAGATTGCAGGCTGGGGAGCCCCAGGATGACCCACAGGAGCCTGGCTGCTGCTGAGCCCTCACCTGTCCCACAGCCCGTGGGGTGTGCACGGCTCCAGCTGTTCTCCCAACATGTGGAACGTCCATCGCCATGCTCCTGGGAAGGCAGTCAGGTTTCCATGGGGATTTCCTTCTCTGAACAGTGCATGGAATCTGTTCATCCCCAGGAAATGTTTCTGGTACAATAAATCAGCATGTTTTACGTGCCCAGAAATATTTCCTTGGAAAATTCACTGCTGGCTCTCTGTAGTCTAGCCTGTCTGGGCTTTTATTTGGCTTTGCCCGCATTGTGCTTTTCATCAGAGAAACTGAAAGTATTTTTATTTACCCTTCAGTTGGATGCTGAAAGTAAGAGGCAGAATGCAATTCTGCTGGTGGTTCACCTGCCCTTTAGAATGGGAAGAGAATCTACAACTGTTGCTATGATTGTTTTGAATGATGTATGTTGGGTCCATGGAGAGATTTTCAGCTGAAGTTTACATGGAAGGCAGGGAATGATGCTGAGGGAAATACAAGCACTACGGTGCCTACATCTCATTATTGCAGCTTTCCCTGGTTTTCTGCTCCATGTTAATGTCTGTGAAAACCCAGAAGGTTCTTCTACACCTAGAATTTCTGTGTGTTATAGCCAGAGAAAAAGACGTTGGAGTGAATGTTTGCCTTGGGAAATATATTTTTGCCTAATATAACTGATAGTTTTTAATCATATTTGTTGTAAGTGTAGCAGGGTCTGGCTCACATGAGAGGATAGATCAAACCCAAGTCATTCTCAGCACAGCCTGGAGCTCTGACAGGATGCAGAGGAGCAGATATGCTCAATTTTATGCACCTCTTTACTATTTCATGCTGTGTGGCATAGTGTTTTATTTTATGCTGGATTTTTCCTAGCAGAACTGACTTCAATTCTCATATGGGAGCTGATTTTTTTTTTTTTTTTTTTGTTTTGGTGAAATCTGTGATTCTTTCCCAAGCTTGGGAGCTGGGAGCAGTTCCTGGACTCAGCAATGTGCTGTGCTGAGAGACTCCCCCTGTCAGATCCCCATCCTGCAGCCCTGCCACTGCAGGGTGTTGGTGAGCTCCAGCTCTCACCTCCAGTCCTTCCATCACTCCTAACTGGCTTTGCTTGGCTTGAGCTTGGTTATTTTCATTCAGTAACTTGAATTTCAGGTGGGGTTGGAGCTCTATGGTGCTGTGCTTTAAATAAAATACATTTATTTCTTTTCCTATTGGAGTGCAGCCAGTGTGGCTTGGTATCAGGGAAGGACACAGATGTGTCAGGGGGCAGAATTTGGGGACAGAGTGTGCATTCAGTGCCTTTGCTGTGCCTGTGTTGACAGTGATCCCTACATGTGTGTGATGAAATGCTTGTGACACTGGAGATTAATTTGTGGCCTTGCTGGTCTGGTCTGTACTGCAAAATTCACCATCTGGGAAGATAAATTTTGCCCATTATGTTTGGTGGTTTGTCACTAAGCACAGTTTAACTGTAAAGGTAGGTGAAATGGGCTATGTTTGCCATGATTAAACTCTTTTATGGGCACCTTGTTAAAAAAAAGGGTAAAAATGAAGGACAGGTTTGAGATTCCAGCAGGACTGATACATACTTCAGTGTCACAAATTTTCAGGGCTTTTTGTCCTTTGATGTGCTGGAGTATCTCTGTTTCCCTCTTCACTAACAAACTTAGATAAAATGTAGTAAATGAGAAAAGAAAAGATGGAAATTGTGACTACAGAAGGGGTAACAGCAACTTGAGTGCTAATTGCTAAACAGAAGAAGTCTCCTGATACATGGAGGAGTTATAAAAGAGACAGGAGAAAACAATTCCTGCTCAACTGGAAGAACAGAAATCTCATCTAATAGCACTGGGAATGGCTTCTATTGTTTCTGTGGTGTTTGTTATTATTTAACTCCATCTTGAGACTCAGAGGATGAATTGAAAAGAAAAATGGGAGTCAATTTGTACAGCAGGAGAACGTTTAATGAAATAAATGGACAATTGCCCCTTGGTTATAGGGAAGAAATGAGGACACTCTCTTTAGGAGTAAACAATGGATTTTTGGATTCTTCTCCAAGTCTCCCCATCTGAGCTGTCAGTGAGGATGTGCTGCCCCTGAAAGCTGAGCATTAACAGCGAACATCACACACAAAATGTGGGTTTGCTGGCATCCCTCACCCTCCCCAACAGCAAGGAGCCATCCTTCTTTGTGCCTGCAAAGAATGGAGCTGGAAATGGGAGAAATTTCAGGGTAACAGCGAGGAAACAGGTCATGAACCCAATCCAAGGTGTTACACATACCAGGAGACCCTTCCTGATTGGTCTCACTAGGCAAAATGATATTAAGGGTTTATATTAATAAACATATATCCATATGGAGGAGGTGATGTCTCCTGCTAAGGAATAAAAATTGCACAGACCATTAAAAGTGACTTACAAGGCTTCTGTGCTAATAATGAAAGATCTGGAGAAGTCTGAGCAGTCGTCTAGAAGGCCAGAAAAAGATCATTAAGAGGATGTCTCCTGCCAATAGCTGCCAAGAGCAAACAAGGGAGAGAAAACAGAAGGTTTTGGATCCGGAAATGCATAGAAAATGAGAGTACAGGCTGTGGGGAATGCAGCCTGGCTGCCTGTGAGGAGGAGGCTCCACATGGCCTTCATCGCTCCTGAGCAAGCTGCTGGGAATGGGGAGCTCTGTCTCTGGGATTGTCACTGGGGAGAGAAAGAAATGATTCCCTGGAACATCACTGCAGGAGGAACATTCAGCAGAAATCAGTGTTGAGAAAGGAAAAAAATATAAAAATGCTCTTCTGAAATCTGAAATGCTGGTTCAGATTTAGAAATAATCACAGAAATAAACCATTACTGGTGGATTGGGAATAATTTGGGTTTGAGTCCAAAATTTTATAGACCCAGATGAATGTTGAAATTTTTGGTTTCCCTTTCCTCTCTGAATGTACATGGAACTAAATGTAAATATGAAATAGTGATATGTAATGTTAATAAAAATATCAAGCACTGCTAAGTCTGGAAATGCCAGATCTGCCTGTGCAACCTTTCTGCAGTCCCCAAGTACTTCTGCACTATTTCATGTTCCTCCAAGACAGATTCACACCGTTTCATTTTTCCAGATCTCCTGCTTCATTTGATGCCTATATTGTCTTCCTCCCACTATTTTATTTTCTTTTTGTTACTGAATGGAAAGGGAGTAATATCCTTTCAGGACACTCCAATGAAGCCTGGGGGAGCTGTCACCAGAATGGTTTTTTTGGCTTGAATGAACCATTTCTATAAATCCTCTTTCAGAAAAGGTTGAAA